TCTTCAGTTCTTTAAAAATCTTTTTATAACTACAAGACTTCCTGATTATTTACCATATTGATTAGTTTCTTTAGGACACACCCTAGCCTGACAGCCATAATTTTTACATGTTTCATATGAGGAGTTTCTGGACCATAGTATATTTTGGGAGACATGCCAGGATTATGGGAATTTATTGGACCCTGTTTATGGGACACTTCTGCAAGGCTTGGGGTTGAGCTAGCTGAAGTGACATCTCCGTTTCAGCTACATTAGAACACTTGCTGTTTCCCCAACATACCATGCGCTCTCAGGCCTCTGTGTGGTGGCTCAGGCTGGACCCTCTGCCCCAAGAGTTACCCCATCACATGTCCCAGTGACATTCTACTCATTGCTTAAGACAACGTATATCTTTTAGCCTTCCCTGAAGCCTCTTTCTCATGGTACCCACTTGTCCAAGCTCTTCTACTCTAGCAGTTATTAAGTGATTTTATAGCTCTTTGGGTTTATGAGGGCTGTCTAGAAAGTACCCAGCCATTGTTAATATAACAGTAAAATATAACATGGTAGGTTACTTTCTGGACAGTGCTTGCATACCTATCTGCCCCCAGTAAATTCCTTAAGGACAAGTATTTCCTATTTTTTGTTTTTGTCTGCCTAAAATCAGTATAATCAGTTCCTACTACTTGAAGGTACTCAATAAATATTTGTTGAATGGGCACAAATCAATTGATAAATGTGTTTCACTATTGAGTATCTGTTTAACCTGAAGTTCTAATAAAGCGAATTCTTGGAAAACTGAGTTAGCTCTTATATTTGTAATGCTACATTTGCACATGGATGCTGTCTAATATTTTGAGTTTGATAAGTAATGATTTTTTGATTTGGTTAAAATTATGATATATATAAGAATGTATAGAATTTAGGCAAGAAAATAATTATCTGGGGTGCTCTTTGGTTTTAGACTCTTTTTATTTTGTGGGTTGTTTATTTGGCATGATGAATTGTCAGGAGAAAATACCACTGGCTTAAGAGCAAGTGGATTGCTGTACTTGTCATCTGAGTGCATAGTGAAGATTTCTGGAAAAACTAAAGGGATTTAAAAGTCGAAAGTCTTTTATCTTTTATGGATTCTGGGGCAAGTTAATCAATATTCCTAACTATAATAATTTTATTCTTGAAACACTTGCAGCGCTGCCTCTTTTAGAAGAGTTTGTGCATTAATCATGAGGCTCCATAAAATGTCATGAGGATAAAACATTTAGTAAACACCATCTGATAATCTAGGAAATAGTGATACCATCTCAGCCACTGATTTTAAATTAGATATATTGGTTTCTTTGAATTCATTTAAAGTTAACTGATGTGTGGTACTTAAACTGTGTGCAAAATAGTTCATTTTGCAAATGATTTACTGAGTGCCTACCACGTGCCGGAAGTTCTGTGTTGCTTAACTCAACAAATCCAGGGTGAATGAGACACAGCCTCCATCCTCAGTGAATTTGTGGGCTGTTAGGAAGATTAGACATCTACATGCCTAATGGAAGTTTCCTGAGAAAGGTACTGAATCTGGTTGGGAGGAATAGGGAAGATATCTTGAAGCAAGGAGCATTTTGATCAGGATTAGATTTCAGTAGACAGATTGAGTTCATTGAACTTGATCCAATTACAAGAAGCAGAGATGTGTTCTTTCTCAGGCTACCTCAACTAGTGAGGTTTACTGTAAGGCTCCACGGGGAGTAGGAAAGGCAGGAAAACAGTCTCAGCAGCCACCAGGCAGCCATCATGGAGAGTCAGACACTAGCCCTGGTAGCATGAGAGCCCCTCTTTCATCTCGCCAGAAGTCAGTGTCTGCCCCTTCTCCGCTGATCTGCACTGTGGTCACTCAGCTCTCTCTGTCTTTGCCCCCATGGGTGTATGTGTATGTGCTTCCCCCTTTCACTCCTCAGCAGAGAAAATCTATCTTGGTTAATCATTCAGCAATGAGCATCCCTGATGCACAAAGCTCATGCCCGCCACCTCTTAGGCAGCTTGCCAACTATGCTAACCAGTTGATACATGTTTTCAGCTTAGAGACTGGTCCAGTAAACCGCAGCCAGGAAGATGGGGTCACATGGTCTAGAGCAGTGCTTTTCCAACTTCAGTGTGTATGTGAATCACCTGGGGGACCTTGTGAAAATGCACATTCTTGATTCAGCAGGTCAGGGGATTCATTAACTGTGTGTTTCCAGTGCTGCTTCCAGGTGCTGCTGATGTTGCTGGTCCTCAGACCACACTTTGAGTCACAAGGATAGGGAGCATGGTGACTTCCATGTGAATGTAATTACTCAGAAGAAAGGCACTCCAGATGTGGTAGACCTGTGGTTGTGAGATGGCACTTCATGTGGAGGAATAATTGTGGCTAAAAGAGTGAAGGAAGATGAAGTGCCCATGTCCATATGTGTTTATATAAGGCCAATTTTGAATATGGTTAAGGTTAGAATGAATAAGGCATCTTCAAACCAAAAAATCAGTATTGAGACAATTCAAATGTAGTCTCTTAATAGCAAAGTTGTTGGGTTGGCTATTACTCTATTATTTTAATCCAAAGCAAAAAAAAATCATTTTGATGTTTCCAGTAAGAGATAAGCAATTGGATATGAATTTAACTTATTCGTATTCACTTAAGGGCTTGCTGCATAACTCCGGTCACACTAAGTCTGTGTTGCTCGTGTGGATATGGGATCGGCAGTAGAACTTGGTTGTTTATTATGAGCCAGAGTCCCTGGTTTAGACACCAAGTGTCATATTCCTTATCACTCTGGTACCTTAAGACAATCACACATTTCTAAATGTCTTCATTAGAGATCCATAGATAGGATAGTTCAGCTCTTAGTCAAAAAGCTCCTTGAACTTTTAAATGTCTGACTTTCATAGAGTGAATCTCAGTTTCAAAGCACCTTTACATTCATTCTTCTAATCGTTTCATACATATAATCTAAATCTGATTGAAAACCAAAGAGATCTTTTTAAAAATTTATTTAACAGTGCTAGAGTCCAGACTTAGAATTATGAATGATGTCTAATAGAACATAACTGAATTAAGTATGCAGACCATTCTGGCGTAATGGCAGATGCGTGAGGAAAACAATGTCTTCCATTCAGACTTCTTCCTCATTTCATTCATTATATTCAAAAGGAAGGCCCTAGGTGATATTTACATCTATTCTTCATTGTTCAGTGACATAGGGCAATAAACATTTTGTCATGTTTTACTACCTGAATCTCACCACTTCAACTCATTCTTCTTACTTTAAAAAATGACTTATTTTAATGTTAATGATCAAAAAGGCAAAAGGAATTATTTTAAATGACCGAATAGTAACATCCTTTTTTAAAAAATTTAAACCAGTTTTTCAATTTATGTGAGTAAAATCTTGAAAAGAATTTTCAAAGTTCACCTTATGTTGGCAATCACCTAGAATTCTGATTTGCCGAATAGTTTAATCACATGACCATCTTTGACTACCACATTTTAAGTTGTCAATTGTCAAAGAAGGGATGCGGTTTAGTATAAAGAAGAGTTTTGGCATGGTGAAAAGTATGCAGGCCTTGGAGCCAGAAAACCTTATGTTTAAATTCCTTCCTCATGCACACTTGCCATGTTATCCTGGGCAAGTTATTTAATCTCTCTGAGTCTTAGTTTCCTCGTCTGTAAACTCATGATGTTCATACCTACTTTGCAGCATCGTTTTGAGGATAAAAATAAACAATGCAGGTAATGCATTCAGCACATGCATTACCATTTAACAGAATTTCAATGAATAAATGTGAAGATTTTTTAAATCATATGACAAAATGCTATTTTTATATAAAATTAAAAACAAAAGAACTTTTATTACTTCATATTTGCATAGAAAAAACATTATTCTTGACATAAGAGAAACTGCAGTGCTTTGAATTATTAACGGGCAAGCTGTGATTGTAATTGCCAGTCTATACAGTAGAACCTCTGATGTCAAAAAAGTGATTCTTCAAAAGATTAAGTGGTGGTATTATATACAGTTTACCAAAAGAAATTCTAACTAATCCTTAAAATGTAGTCAGTAAGTTCACTTGCGCTGCAGTGACATAATGTGCAGGAACAAAGAGAATAGTTGGGTACAAATATTGTTCATCAGGAAGCATATTATTAATTCATTTTAATCACATGGGGCTAGGCAAGTCAGGGCATACCCATATGTTTTTAGAGTGTTAGGACTAGAAATCATGAGAATGGGATATTCCACTCATTCGACAAAGATGTCAGATAAAATATCTTATACGTCAGATGGAAGACATATTTTCATTGTATTCAATACACACAGGCTGTCACATACACTTCCACACAGTGAAAATAGGAAAGCCTCTTTCTGATGGTTTTTTAGGTAAAGGCCGCAGGACCATCATATTGATATGTCTCTAATAATAGGATTCTTTGCATCATTTTTGTAATTAACCTCCCTTAGATTGGAAACAGTCCAGGGATATCCATTATTTTAAATGGTGCTTCATAGCAAGTACTGGTCTAGTAGTTTGTTTGCTAGTGTTTTTCATTTTATGAAGGCATCTGTGGGGCTTTGATTTTATAAGGTGAAACAAGTCATTGGTAAGAAGGCAATGGAAATGACTGGGAAATTGGTTCAAGGGAAAAGTGAGTTGAAGGGCAGCCTGAGTATGAGTAGATTTGGGGGGCATCATGAGCCTTCAGGTTTTACTCTGTGCTTCAATCTGGGAGATTTCCTTAAAGCTGATTGATTTCCAGAATGTCCCAGGTGTTTAATTCCAGTATAGCCTACAAACAGCCAAATCATCCTAGCCAAAGCAATCCTTTCCTCCTTTAATAACAGAATATTCATATCGTATCATAGTTTTGGTCTTATAGAGGGGGAGGTATTTTAAATTATAATCTTTTAGCTAATTTCCCCAAGCATCACCATTCTTACCCTTTTAGATACCTTCAGTATATCCACTAGTACTTAATACTATTTTTCCTTACACAGATCCAGTGCCCCACTTGCCAATTTGTCTGGTGTTTTAAGTGCCACTCTCCTTGGCATGAAGGTGTTAACTGCAAGGAATACAAAAAAGGAGACAAATTGTTGCGTCACTGGGCCAGCGAAATCGAGCATGGGCAGAGGAATGCCCAGAAGTGTCCAAAGTGCAAGGTGAGATAAACTTTAGGAGGAAAGGAAAAAAGCATGTACATCTGGATATAAGTGAACAATATTTACAGTATTGAAGTGAATTATGTTTGTAACTATCTTAATGCGGTGTGGAGAAAAGAGTATTTGGTGTTTCGTTTTAGAAGAGTTAATTATATTACATAAATAAACTGAACATTTTATATATAAACAGTGTATGTTATTATTTGCATTACATTTCAAAATTTAAGAAGGCCACACATAAATATTGATTTAAAACATTGAAATCCTTATTTTCCACTTAAAAATGAAGATGTATGTATATGGAAAAACTGGTATGAAAATTATATGAAAGTGTTATGTCTAGCTTGTCACATGGACTCCAACCACTTTTTATTATGTAGGCTCTGAATCCTTGAAATCTTTCACTTTTGCTTTTCTTTTTCTTATCACTTTAAGATTACATTAAATTAAGCTGATCATTTTGCTTTTTTGTAAATCTGGTGAAGTAGAAGCTAATAGCTAAAATCAGGGTTCAGGGATTTTATGAATCATATTTTTCATCTTTCCCTTGATAATCATGCAAGTAATCAAGATTTAGCAGGTGTTTGAGCTGAGACCTGGATGTTGAAAGTTAGCCATGCCAATAGCCAGGGAAGAGTCTCCCATAGAGAGGTCAGCCAGTAAATCCAGCCAGAATGCTTTGGATTTGATGTTTACAAGATAGGGATCTATTAAATTCTGAAGTTTTTTGTAAACAAGCTTACTTTAGAAAATTATGTGTGTGTGTTTATATATATGTATACTCCACCATATGTGGTTTTCACCTTTTCCCAAATTTACTTTTAGAAATCATGTCTAAATTAGGCCCAATTTTCTTATAAAAACAATTCCACAATTCCTTCCTACAGGCTTAGTACCAGATAAATGCAATTTGAATCGGTCAGAAAATTTTAAAAATTTAATAATTGTGAATCCAATTTGAAATAAATTCAAATATACTAAAAGTATATTCCAAAGCCTATTAACGAGCATAATAATAATGTACAGATTCGCTATACCAAATTCACATACCAGTTTACACATATAGTAAGGAAAAAGTATTATATGAAATAACAAATTGCATTCTTAGCAACTGGAAGAAATTTTTGAAATAGTTTAGATGACCTGGCTCTCTTAAACGTGATGTCTAGAGATGTTTGGGCTAAAACTTTCTTTGTTTTCCCTGTAGAAGGCAGATTGATCTACAGTTACCCTTTTTTATTTTAGAGCTATTTCAGATCACTGCATGGATTGCTCATGGCACTTTCATTTTTCATCACATTGAAGAACAATTAGAAAATGAAGCCTTTCCCCCTTTCTCTTGCTTTCCAGTTTATTCAAAGCTACTACTCAGTTTCAAACCAAATAAAGGCCAGTAGGAACTTAGGGGAGCTGTTATATCATTCTACTTTACACTTTGTTCACAAGTACACTTTATATCTCTTTGGAAAGCTGTAAAAACAATTACCAATTAGGCTGGTTCTAAGACTGTACTCTGAATGAACAACCCTGCAGCATTATACATTGGGGAAATTCTGAATGAACTGATGTAATACATAAAAACATACATTTATTACTGTAATTCCTTAATCTAACATTAAATGGACTCACATATAGGAAGAAAAAGCAGCCAACCATAAGGAATTTAGTGAATGCACTAACAGCTGCCCACAGTTTTAACAAATATAGATAAATAGTTACGAAGAAAGCATACATGCTGGTTCCCCTTTGAAGTAATAGCTAAAAGGTCAGGGCTTTAAAAGGAATTACCTTTTAAATAGCTGAAACTTTGGAAAAGAGCCCTGGAATCAGTTTACATGATTACGTTTGTAGCAGGGAACCTACTTTCTGGTGGGATTCAGGTCCATAAAATTTATATCTGTTTAAGTCCTATTTTATAACTTGTTTTGAGTACAAATGGTTTCATTTTCTTTTTTTTTTTTTTTAAGCATGGCTTTAAA